CATTGTTCTATTGTAGGTTTTGTCATTTGGGTTTAGTTTTCTTGAGCATTTGTTCAGATTTTGACAATGCTCGATGTTATTAATGCTGCATTTAGATATTCAATTGCAGCGATGAATTTGTTTGCATGTAAAAATAGGATCTGAAGATTAAAGGCCGTGTGGAGCATTTTGTGAGGTAACATTTTTTTTTTTCTGCTATCCCTTTTCTTTTGCAATGATCTTTTTGGCCTTTTGAGTTCTTTTCGCCTTTCACTTGGTTTTAATTTGAAAATCTTTTGAGATAATGGGTCCATTACTTTACTTGTTTGTTTTTTCAAATTTGATAAATTTATGGCTTTCGGTTGCTAAATTTATGTGCATTCTCGAATTAGATTACGGATTTTCTGTGCAAAATTCGAGAAATAATGGATCTTTTCATCATTTTTCTGAGGTAGATTTAAGATCCTTTTGGCTCTCGGGTTTCTTGAATTATTTCCTTTGCACTCAAACACATGTATGTCCTCTGCCACACACATTATCTTGCATAATGAGGAGCAAAATTCATACAATTGATCAGTGCCATTTCCTGATTTTCAGAAGTGTAACAAGCACCAAACACCTGAACCCTGCTTTCCATTACTGCATTTGTAAACCCAGCTAAATCAAGGAAAAAAGAAAAAGAAAACGTCAAAAAAGAAGAAAACAATGCCGGCCATTGAGAGCAAAAGGGCCGATCACTCGACCCACTCGACCCACTAGACGATACAAAATGTGGCCAAAGGCATTAACACCCGTTTTACTCATAGCCCTTCTACTTCTGCTCGTCCCCTCATTAGCCGACACCGAAAATGACGTTCCCTTAGATGGCGAGGCCCGTTGCAACTGCGAGGACGACGGTGGTTTCTGGACAATCGAGACAATCCTCAACTGCCAGCGCGTGAGTGACTTCATGATCTCGGTTGCCTACTTCTCCATCCCGATCGAGCTCCTCTACTTCCTCAGCTGCTCCACCATCCCTTTCAAGTGGGTAATCGTCGAGTTCATCGCCTTCATCGTCCTCTGCGGCATGACCCACTTCCTCAACGGCTGGACTTACGGGCCCCACTCCTTCCACATCATGCTCACCCTCACCGTCTTCAAATTCCTCACCGCCTTAGTCTCGTTCGCGACCGCCATAACCCTCGTCACCCTCCTCCCCTTGCTCTTGAAACTAAAGGCTCGAGAACATCTGTTGAAGAAAAAGACGTGGGACCTCGACCGCGAGGTCGCGTTGATAACGAAGCGCAAGGAGGCCGGATTGCACGTCCGCATGCTCACCCAAGAGATCCGCAAGTCCCTCGACCGGCACACGATCCTCCACACGACGCTCGTCGAGTTGTCGAAGGCGCTCGACTTGAAGAACTGCGCCATCTGGATGCCGAACGCGGACCGCACGGCGATGAACCTCACCCACAAGGTGCGCGGGCGGACGTTCTCGAGCTCGTCGTCATCCGTGATTCCCTACGGCGACCCGGACGTGCTCGAGGTGAAGAAGGGCGGAGGGGTTCGGGTGCTCGACGGGTGCCGAGCGGTGGGGAGGAGGGTTTGGCGAGGAGGTCGTGGGGCCCGCAGGAGGTCGGGATCGTGGAGGCGGTAACGGACCAGGTGGCGGTGGCGGTTTCGCACGCGGCCGTGCTGGAGGAGTCGCAGAGCATGCGCGACAGGCTGGCGGAGCAGAATCTGGCGTTGGAGCAGTCGAGGATGGATGCGTTGATGGCGAATCGGGCTAGGGCGACTTTCGAGCGGGTGATGAGTGACGGGCTGCGAAGGCCCATGCACTCTGTTTTAGGGCTTCTGTCTTTGCTGCAGCAGGATGATGTGGGGGTGCTGGGGTGTGAGCAGAGGCTGCTAGTGGACACGATGGTGAAGACGGGTGGCGTGCTGTCTGTGTTGATAGGGGATGTGATGGGGACTTCTGGGAGGGGAAGGGCTCGACTGGAGACGAGGGGTTTTCGGCTGCGCTCGATGATTCGGGAAGCTGCGTGCCTGGCGAAGTGCCTGTGTGCGTACGCGGGGTGTGGCTTTGTGACGGAGGTGGAGAGGACGCTGCCCGATAAAGTGATGGGGGATGAGAGGAGGGTTTTTCAGGTGATTCTGCATATGGTTAGATATTTGCTGGATGGGAGTAAAGGGGGGTGCAGCTGCCTTACACTAAGGGTGTGTTCAGCGGGTGGGAGTGAGAGTGGGTGGAGTGAGCAGAGCTGGGGGCAGTGGAGTTGGAACTCGTGTGACGGGTATGTGTGTACGAGGTTCGAGGTTGGGATTCGTAGTGGTGGGTTGTCTCGGTCGGAGGATGGGCTTGCTTTGGCAGCGTACGGTGGGCATGGGCATTGTGATGGGGGGTCGGAGGAGAGTTTGAGCTTTGCTGCATGCAAGAAACTTGTTAAGGTACGTTTGCGACGAGCTTTTCTGTTTCGGTTTGTTATGTTGGATTGGTTAGGAGTTACGTTACGTAATGTTTATGTATATTGACGTCATATGATATCTATTTATGTTGGTGTTACATACATTTTTTTTTTTCCTCGTGATGGCATAATCTGGAATCGTTGTAGACGGGATGAGTCATTAAGTTCCCAATATCTGTGGCGAACTGAACCGAATGCGTAAATGCGTAAATAAAAGAATTAGAAAAGGAAAAGAAAAGCTTTGATTGTATGGCTTAAGCTGGATAGGAATTTATGAGCAGAAGAGTTGAAACATAACATGTTCTTCCCTTGACTTGCGGGATGGTGTGGGTAAAGATACTAAGTTTGAGCTTTATTGCATGGAAAATGATTGGTCAGGTTGTCGACAATTCATTAGATTGGTTTATCAATGATGTCACATAATCCTCTCCGCTTCCTTTCTCTCTTTCTTTTTCCCTATACACCTCATAACTTTTTTGTCTTTTCCTTGAGATAAATCGTATATTTCTCTATATGGAACCAAACATTCATTCAGCCGACACATAAAACGGTCAAACAAAGAAACAAAAAAGCCTTTGCTTACATCACCCGAGGTCCAAAGCCATGTAATAACTACCAACCATTTCATCATTCAAATAATAATTGCACTTTTTTTTTACTTGTCTAACACAATAAACTCACGCAGATAATGCAAGGCGACATCTGGTTAACGTCAAACCCAGAAGGTTTCGACCGTAGCATGGCTCTCGTCCTCCGTTTTCACATCCCTTCACAAACAACTGCCGAGCCACCATCCTCTGGCCACCTCCGTTTAGAAAACTCCATTTTCAGGGGCCTCAGGGTTCTCCTAGTCGATGCAGATGACTTGAACAGGGCCGTGACTCGGAAGCTTCTAGAAAAACTAGGCTGCACTGTCTCGTCAGTCTCTTCCGGTTACGAGTGCCTCAGTGCCATGGGGCCTTCGGTTTCGTTCCAGGTCGTGCTTTTGGATCTTCAACTGCCCGATCTCAATGGTTTTGATGTCAGCACCAGAATTCGCAAGTTTTGTAGTCGAAATTGGCCGCTAATTGTTGCCCTGACAGGTAATGATGATGGTGATGTGGTGGAAAGGTGTGTGGGGTCCGGAATGAATGGGTTCATTCAGAAGCCGGGTACTTTGCGCGAGATCTCGGACGAGCTTAAGCGCATATTGGTGCAGGTGAATAGGATTTGAGGTTTTTGTTATGTTATGGTGGTGGTGGTTTAGGATGGGAATGAATGGGTCTCGTTAGAATAAAACGAAATAGAAAGGTAATGTTGTTCTGTAAGGTAGCTAGCGTATGGGACCCTGTCGTTCGGCTAGAGACATTATATATATATATATACAAGAATATAGTGAAGAAAAAAAAATGATATAGAAAATTGAACTGGTTTTTTAGTTCCCTATTTTGTTTTCTGGGTTGAGTTCACTTTGGCAGCTAAACTATAATAGTGGATCATTATTCTATTTGATTCATATGTTCATTGGATCCTTCTGGCAAATTTTATTTTTTCGGCCGGTTGATCAAAGGGTAATACACAGATGTGGAAGAAGTTGTGCTTCATGCAGTTTAAGATGACTTGGACTAGTGTGGTCAGTTTGAGTAGTTGACGATTCACTGTATTTGGGGAAAGTTTTAGTTTGTTCAATGTAAATGCATCCCAGAGTATTTTGGCTAACTGATGCTGCTCTCTAGATTTTGGTCTGTAAAGCGTAATGTTTGCCTTTCTTCTTGGCGATCTTAAATTACTGGTTGGGAATATATGAGGCTGACAATTTCTGTTACATTTATTCAGCTGTAAAATGAAGCATGGGTAGGTATTATTAATTCTATTTATGTATGTACATAATTTTTAAATGTCTTATTAACTTGCTTTTTGACTTTCCTTTCTTTAAAAAAACATAAACTTTCTCGTTTTTCACCTGGTCTTCGACTACGGTTGATGATCAACCAATGGATTGGATTAGGTATTTGTAAATTAGAGGATATATGTCTATCTCTAGACTTTATACTCTAGTCTCCAATCAAATGATTATTTATTAGGTTTGCATTATGCCTTCCTCAGCAATAATGATTTTGTTACATATTGTGAAAAATCTTATGAATCTACCTTTATGGGATGGATGCAATATTATCAACACAACACTAGTACGTAGCCCGTACGATGCACGGGACAGAAGTATTAAATGAGTCATTTCCACATAGCTTATCCGTTGAGTAGCTCGTGCGATTCACGGAATATATTAAATGAGTGGACCATAGCTCGTCCGTTAAGTAGATTCTCCCAAACTTTCCATCCTACACACCAAAGACGAGAAAAAGATTCGAACACCGGGTCGTGTCTCTCGAGAAGGTTGGCCGGATTATTATGCACGTTTATTCAACCACACAAAAGAAAATCAAATTCCTAAACATTCTAGTTCAGATGGTTTGGTTTGGTTATTAACTACGAAGAACAACTGCAAATTATAAATAAAAAATAGCACGCAACAACAAAGAACAAGTAGGATTTAAGAAGCTAGGGAGTCGGGGATATCCGCTTTGGTTCGAGTTGTGACTATTGGGCAAGTGATCGTTCGGTTAAGTGATTTGAATAATTTGCTCGTTCAAGTACTCATTCTCAATAACTCTTCGTAACAAGAGAACAAACTTGAACGGAAAAATTAACAAGTCATTTAACTCCTAGGCAATACAGTTACGAACAAGCCTAGTTTATACAAGCCTATTTCAACCGACTCCTCCCCTTTCGGTTCTAAGAGTCGATTAGATTAGACTAGAGGGTTGTTAACCGACTAATCAATAAGAATAACCATTATTATGCGAGAATACATCGAATTCAATCGTAGATTGGAAATTGAAGTGTCACTCTTTAATAATTCTCAATATTCAGGCCCAATATTTGAAAAACCCTTTTAAAGAATAACTCGTACAAATAGAACGATCAATAAACCCCAACAATCACAAACGAATTCAAAACATTAATCCCCTATTCCCTAGCATATGAATTTAGCCACTCATGATCGATTCAACACAAACAATCTCGCATATCAAGACAATCATATTCATGGATTAAAAGATTAGAAAGTCTTACGATTAAACCAAAATTGAGGGTTGAATCTGGTAAACAAGGTTAATCCAAAAGCAGTAGCAAAATCCGAGTGCAAATTCGTGTTCAACAATGAAAAATATGAAGAAAACGATGAAAAACAAGTGAAAGGGACGAAGGGTAGGGTTTTCTCGTTTCTGAGACGTGTGAGAATGAGAGATCCTCCGTTCTATTTCCGATCCCATATATATATATGTCGCATGGATTCACGGCGCGAGGAAGTCGAGGCACGGCNCGCGACGCTGGGATGCTGGCACGACGCGGGGCGCTCCGCAGCGCGGCACTGGGAGAGGCACCGCCTGAAGACCCGTGGCGGGTGTAGCGGCGCGAGGACTCGGCGCGGTGCTAGTACTGGTGCTCGGACCACTTGCGTGACTTCACCTTTCGGAGTCGTTCGGAATCGTTTGACATCGGAATTCGATTCCGCTTTTTCCTATGTGTTGCCAACGAAACACTCTACTCGGCTAAGTTCTCCCGATCCCATTATCGCGAAAAGTAGATTCTCCCAAACTTTCCATCCTACACACCAAAGACGAGAAAAATATTCGAACACCGGGTCGTGTCTCTCGAGAAGGTTGGCCGGATTATTATGCACGTTTATTCAACCACACAAAAGAAAATCAAATTCCTAAACATTCTAGTTCAGATGGTTTGGTTTGATTATTAACTACGAAGAACAACTGCAAAAAATAGCAACTGCAAATTATAAATAAAAAATAGCACGCAACAACGAAGAACAAGTAGGATTTAAGAAGCTAGGGAGTCGGGGATATCCGCTTTGGTTCGAGTTGTGACTATTGGGCAAGTGATCGTTCGGTTAAGTGATTTGAATAATTTGCTCGTTCAAGTACTCATCCTCAATAACTCTTCGTAACAAGAGAACAAACTTGAACGGAAAAATTAACAAGTCATTTAACTCCTAGGCAATACAGTTACGAACAAGCCTAGTTTATACGAGCCTATTTCGACCGACTCCTCCCCTTTCGGTTCTAAGAGTCGATTAGATTAGACTAGAGGGTTGTTAACCGACTAATCAATAAGAATTACCATTATTATGCGAGAATACATCGAATTCAATCGTAGATTGGAAATTGAAGTGTCACTCTTCAATAATTCTCAATATTCAGGCCCAATATTTGAAAAACCCTTTTAAAGAATAACTCGTACAAATAGAACGATCAATAAACCCCAACAATCACAAACGAATTCAAAACATTAATCCCCTATTCCCTAGCATATGAATTTAGCCACTCATGATCGATTCCACAGAAACAATCTCGCATATCAAGACAATCATATTCATGGATTAAAAGATTAGAAAGTCTTACGATTAAACCGAAATTGAGGGTTGAATCCGGTAAACAAGGTTAATCCAAAAGCAGTAGCAAAATCCGAGTGCAAATCCGTGTTCAACAATGAAAAATATGAAGAAAACGATGAAAAACAAGTGAAAGGGACGAAGGGTAGGGTTTTCTCGTTTCTGGAACGTGTGAGAATGAGAGATCCTCCGTTCTATTTCCGATCCCATATATATATGTCGCATGGATTCACGGCGCGAGGAAGTCGAGGCACGGCGCGAGTTGCTCCGTGGCGCGGCGCGGCAGGGCATCGCCGCGGCGCGGGGAGTGTAGCGGCGCGACACTGGGATGCTGGCACGATGCGGGGCGCTCCGCGGCGCGGCACTGGGAGAGGCACCGTCTGAAGGCCCGTGGCGGGTGTAGCGGCGCGAGGACTCGGCGGGGTGCTGGTACTGGTGCTCGGACCACTTGCGTGACTTCACCTTTCGGAGTCGTTCAGAATCGTTTGACATCGAAATTCGATTCCGCTTTTTCCTATGTGTTGTCAACGAGACACTCTACTCGGGTAAGTTCTCCCGGTCCCATTATCGCGAAAAGTAGATTCTCCCAAACTTTCCATCCTGCACACCAAAGACGAGAAAAACTGGAAAAACGACCGAGAAACACATGGATAACCAAAATAAAAAATAAACAATAAAAACGAATAAAAACTAACGAAAAGACCTAAAACGGGGGAAAAATAAATAAAAAATAAGTAGGAAAAACGAAACAAAAATGGGACAAACAACTCCCCCACACTAAAACCTTTGTTCGTCCCGAACAAAAAGAAAAGAAAAGACACGAAAGCAAGCAAACGAGCATGGATTACAGTTTCAAATTAATCAACTTAGCTGAGGAGACTTCCAATGACCAATATAGCACACCTCACTACGACTCGAATGCAACGCTTTGAAAAGACAAACTCTCAAGCACGGAAGTATAATACATATATGCCTCACGCAGTTTCTTACATGAATATGAAACGGGTTCACTCAAATTGGTCGATCATCATGCATCAACATAATCTTGTTTATCGTCTATTCATACTCTAAAACAATCAAAGATCATGAATTTGCGAATCAAGAGGACTTCCGGGGTTGTAATGTAGGTATCAAAGGAAGGAAGAATATAAAGATAAAATGGTTCACATAAACAATCATGCTCTCGAGCACATAAATACTCGAATATCTCACCACCTATCCGTAATCAGCATGAAACTAATCATTCCCACCAAAAACTCCATACACTACACACATGCTCAAGCTGAAATGCAAATTAAGCACTCGACTCTTTATTTTTTATTATTATTATTTTTTTTTCAGTTTTTTTTCTTTTTATAAGGGTTTTTCTTTTTCCTAACAAGACTAAGACATAAGGACGACATTCTCTAGGTTTAAACATTGGAGGTCATCCAAGTTTCCTAGAGTGATTTCCTAATACTCATTACTCGTCAAAGAATTTCGACAAGTAAGCAGAGTAGAATCCTTTAGTCCGTCTTGCGAGTCTCCTCCTTTTTTTTTTTTTTTTCCCAAGATTCTTCTCAAACACATAGTAGAAACTCCATCATCATAATAATCGCACTGTCAAATCTCAAGAAATTCAATCAATTCGGTTGACAAGAAACAAGGTTCAAGGCTCAACGGGCTACTAATGAAAATATATGTTCAAGGGTCAATGAAAAGGGCTAAAACGAGCCATGTCAAAGAAATGCTTCAATCATTTTCACAAATCACAACTTCAATCGCTTCATTTCAAAACAAACTCAAAGCAAGTTCTGATCAACACAAATTTCGACCAATGTCTCTCAAGAAACAACATAAGGCTCAAACCTCGCAAAGGGTAAATAAATGTCCAACAAAACGACACATCGAGTTCATCAAAGCATACTGGTCATGATCATCATCACATCTCCTCAACATCATCAGCAAATCTCAAAATTCACCATAATCCATACTCAAAAACACACAGCTGACTCAAGATAAGACACTAGAATAAAAACAGAAAATGAAAACAACCTAAAAAAACTAGAC